AAAAATTAAGGACAAATAGACAAAAATTTGATGTGCAATACTGAAGTGAAGAGAAAGGGAGCAGGACAGAGGAGGATACAATATATTATATACTACTAAGGACATTTAGGTTGAAGGAGACTTCTACAGAAAAGGCTTAAAATAGGTATATAAATTCATGGAACAAAAAAATGAGGAAGGATAAATAAAACAGGTAAAAAGGATAGAGTAAGGAGAGAACATACAACTTATCTATTATAATTTATTGTCAAAGGAAAAAATTGGCAACAGGATTACACAGGATTTCAATTCACAAAGGTAAGGAAAAGTAATAATTTCCTATCCTGCATTTCTATCCTGCAAACTAATCAAACAAAATTATGACACTGAAGGGGAATAAAAATCTAAGAAAAAAATATGAGGATCAATTACCACTTACATGCAATAAATAGCCCTAAACTTAAATAAATGAACAAGATTTTCATTTTAGATCAATTAATTCTTTTCATTTAGAACAGGAAAAGAACAAAGATCAGGGAATATTCTAAAAAAAAAATTACATCTCTGAATATTAACATCATTCTTTACCTCCTTAAAATATTCTTCCTCACAAACTTAGGTCCCCACCATACTAAATAAATCCTTTTCAATTTAACCATATTCATTTACTGTTAAATATACACATCTAAAATACATTAATACATGAAAACAGGACTTATCTGCACAAAGATAATAAAAATCCTTCACTTATCTAAAATTGCAAAATAAAAAATGAATAAAAATTTTGAACTCCTATAATTTGAAAAATTACTTTCAGATTAAGCTCATAATATTTTCAATACCTAAGTAAAACATTCCCACTGCACTGTTACAATTTAGAAATTTAATAGCAAAAGGCACAGGAAAAGGACATTACTCAACATTTTTATACAGCACAAATAGACCAAAGTAACCAATTTACCATGAATAAATTACAAAAACAAATCTTATTTCTTTTTATTACACACAAAAATTCCACATTTGCCAAACATTAATTCAAAAAACCATTCAAAGAAAAAAAAAAAACAACATTTCCCTTCCATTTACCTACCCATACAAACTTACCTTTTCAAACTTCTCCCCTCACTCACAACATTACTTTCATATAAGTTTTCAATACATTCTTTTCAAAGAAATATATTTTTACCCTACTTTTCCTACATTTATATTCCAAAAATTTACACAGACACTGTATGTAATATCCACTGCAAAAATTTCAATTTCATCATTAACAACAAAAAAAAAAAAAAAAATTTTCATTACCTGATTTCAACCAGTATCTCACACCCTATTCTCTACTCAAGCATACTACATCACTACATGGACATCCACTTTTCAATGTCATCCTAACATCCACAATGCTTTTCAACACTTTCAAATTATGCAACTCTTTTTCAATCCATCTTTGCAATATCCCAAGACATCTAACTTTCATATACTTCACAGCACCACTAACCATACCTACAGAAATTCTGTTCCTCCTATTTTTAGTACAATTACCTACAGCAATAAAGTACAAGTGTTATGAATTATGATTAGCTTTCATTCACACTTCAAGGTATCATACCTTCAATTAACAAAGGCCCTATCTACACATACCCCTATGTCACTCAACTAAAATAATGAAACATACTAACACTCCCCAATACACATCTTACAACAAATGTGGGTACATCAATACTATCAGAAATAACAAACATAAAATAATACAATTCAAAAAGTGGATAAACAAAGTAATCAATCATCTACCCAATTTCTTTCCTTAAAGATTTCAATTCACTTCAATTCTTTCCTTTTCAAAACAAAATAAACATTTTGTACAAAAGCAATACTTTGTTCACAATACTATGATGATATTAAACATCAGGGGCCATCCACAAATTACATTACACTCAAGAGCACCTCTTAGTAATGCTTATATTAATTAAAAACCCTTTCAACATTCTCTCAAATAATTTCATTTATTTAGTCTTGTACCAATACATTACCATTCACAAATTACATTCAAAAATAATTTATACATTGGAGATTTTACATAATAAAGAATATCCAAAAACAGATCTATAGTACTCTACAATCCTATTGACATTACACAGTAAACTGAGCCTATGCAGCTTCCACAACAGCTTCTGCATTTCTTTTCAAATTGCCACCTACACTTACTCCTTTCATTTCTACTTGTCCCCAATATAATTATGTGCAGCCTATACCACCCACCAATTCCCACAATAATACAATTTCATATACATTAAATACAACCAACGGGGGAAAGGACGCAAACGGATAGCGAGGGTGGAAGACGGGAGGTGAGTAACACGCGGAGCCCAGGGCAGAGGCGGGGAAGAGGCGTGGCGGGTGAAAGAGTGACGGAGCCTGCTGGCGGAAGCGGGGGCGGGGGCCGGGTCCGAAGCGATGGCATGCCAAACATCCGGACGGAGGTGGCAGGGCGCAGCCGGGATTGTGGGTAGTGGCAGAGTAGGCGTCGAGCGCCCAGGAAGGGACGACGGCGCTGAAGACAAGCGGCGATGGAGACAGCCGGGTGGAGGCAAGGACGGGGCGGAAGCGATGTACAAGGCGAAAGCATAAGCACATGTGAAGTCAGAACAAGAGATTTAGCGTTGCCAGGTGTATTTCAGCGGGCAGTCCACCCCCCCCCCCATATAGGGAACATTTTATTCAAAACCTTCGTGATAAATTTTTACGTAATCTAAAGCCGTACAGTCAGAGAAAGTAAGGATAGGACAATCGCGTTTTATCCTTTTCCACAAAACTTATAGAAAGTTCGGCTACCCATTTACAATCTCATTTCTCCATTCTCTGAAAAAAATATTAATACTAAAGTTGTTTTATAAAACAAGTACATAAAATTTAAAAACCATTTTAACTTTCTCGCGCTTAAAAAGGAAATTCTTAAGAGAAATGTAATGCTACGCGAAAAAAACTTGAATTTGTGCCGGAAACACTTATTACAGAGACCCGGTTCAATATGTAGGTAAATCTGGTAGCTACATTTAGAAGATGAAACACGCGGTGTAGCCACAATACCTGTTTTGTGAGACCTTTATACAGACAGATTGACAGATCTGTCGGTGAACAACGCTAGCTGCTAAACCATTCAGCCTATTTTCTCCAAAGTTGATATTCCCCAATCGATCTGGCTGATGTCACGGCCCCTTCAATTTCAAATCAATATTCTCATTTGTGGAGCGGGAATACCTCACATGAAGCCTTTGGGACATTTTCAAAATTTAAATAAAATGGTGCCATCCATTTCCATTTACTCTCTTGGTGGATAGTCTGAAGGACCTTTAAGGTAATGTCCCTGATCTCATGTTCGTTTAATACATTTCTCAAATTTGAAACAAAAAACCATTATACAACTCCAATTATAAAGATACATTTTTTTCATGAAACGTATTAATCAAAAACAGATTTTCAAGGAAGATCATTTTCAATTTTTGAAACAATTTTCGCAGAAGCCTGTTATACGTTTACAAAATCATCTCTTAGAAATTTAAATCCTATTTTAAAAAAAATATGAAATAAAGATTGCTAGACTTTACCCGCCCACTACAGTTAAACCGGCTAATTTACGCAGTTGCACGATACTTAACTTCGAATTATTAACCATATTTATGTTCTTTCCTTTTCAATTGCGTCCTTTAATTGTGTTAAATGTGAAGACTAAAACTTCAGCGATCATTGTTGTTGTCACTCATTGTAACGCCGCACAGATAGCACTATAATCAATGATTTTCGTTCGCGGAAATAATGTATGCTTTGGTATTTTAATATTCTTTAAATATAAGAGTCTAATAATTACATATTTGTACATTTCTTTGCCAACACTATCAGTATCGTATTAATTATTACCTTAGTTATTTCACTAACTCGCGTTCTGCTTATATTTCGCACTAAATGTACTACGATTTAAAATGAGTTCTACAAAAAAACTATTTGGAGACATACTATAAATAGTATACTATACATAGTATTACAACGGTCACTAATGGCGAGAAAGTAAGCGCTGTTTTAGCACTAGTTAACTCGCATTCACCTATTTCTAAATTATACTTTCATTTTAGTTCGATAGGTATGTATTCTAACACTTAATTTCCATTATTACTAGCCTCAACACGAAAAACACGAGTTGCCAAACCACAGATTTCGTTCAAGATCACAAAAGTTAATTATATAAATACTAATTAAATTATTAGTATTACTTTATATTAATGTATATAAAATATTATGATTTATATTCTTCTGTACTATAGAATATATAGTTTAACAGGAAAGCTTTCAGTTTCTTTTTGAATGTGTGTATCAAGTGTAAGTTTTTTAAATTCACTACAGACTGTTATACAGTCTCACACCTATAAGGAATTTTCACTGTGTAGGAATGCAGATTTTTTAATCTAGGATCATAGTTATGAAATTCAGAGTTTATAGTGACAGAATCCTTGTTTCCCATAAGTGTCTGAATAATACTTCAATGCACAGGAGTGGTAGTTTAAAAAAATTACAAACAGTGGTTTGCAAGACACGTTTGTGAGTTAGTCATTGTTCTCAATATTTGTTTTTG